AAAACAAATTAGTCAAGAGAGCACTGATCTTTAGCATTAGCATGTCCATAATCTTAAGAACTAATGATATCTGTTAAGTAAATAAATGCTTTTTGTGTGTTTTAAATGTAGGGATGGGTACTGAAACTCTGTACTTTAGTGGTATCAGTGCTAAAATATAAAAGACCGAAGTATCGATAAGCTCTGACGTTAACGGTTCTGCTATTGGTACTGGAGAATTATTGCTGAATAAAAATTAATAACAGTAGCATAATTTAACTGACCAACCCTTTTCTAATTTGCTCTTCTAATTCGTCACATGAGAACTCACATGAGAAATGCTTGCGTTTTCGACCAATAGTACAACGGCAAGCACGTCAAGTATAAAAGCCTTCACAGTTATCTAATGTGTGCGCAAGCTCAGCGCTCAAGCTCAGTATCAAAAGTGCATTAACTGCAGAAAGACAAATGAAAAGTTTTCGACTGAATAGCTAAAGGTACATTATCCACATTGTTATGTTGGCGTTCAATCACATAAGGTCTCTCTAAATTAGTATAATATTAATAGTTTAATAAACACACATTCAGTTAAAATGAAAACAGTAATTCTTTCTGCAGTAGCCTAAATAATCTTAAACATAAAAACGCTTTTACGTTACAGTATTTATAAATATAGTCTAATAATAAACTTTTCTTATTAAGAAACTATTTTTTAAAAATGCTTATTTTTAAGTTGTTAATTCTCAAAACACCAGTGACTCATTTATGTGGCCTAAAATTCCATATTGGCCTATATATCAGCCAATATACCTGCTAAAGTCCAATTCTAAAAAGCTATCAGTTATTGGTATCAGCCTAAAATCTATATCAGCCTATATATCTGCAAAAGTCTAATTTTAAAGAGTTATCGGTTATTGGTATCGGCCTAAAATTCTATATTAGCCTATATATCAGCCAAAGTCCAATTCTAAAGAGTTATGTGTTAATGATATCAGCCTTAAATTCCATATCAGCCTATATATCTGCTAAAGTCCATTTCTAATGAGTTATTGGTATTGGCCTAAAATTCCTTAGTTGCCTTTCAGCCAATACACCTGCCAATGTCCAATTCTAAAGAGTTATCGGTTATTGGTATCAGCCTAAAATTCCATCTTGGCCTATATATCAGCTAATATACCTGCTAAAGTCCAATTCTAAAGAGTTATTGGTTATTGGTAACGGCCAATATGTCAGCCAATATACCTGCTAAAGTACAATTTTAAAGAGTTATCGGTAAATATTGGCCTGAAATTCCATATCAGACCATATATCTGCTAAAGTCCAGTTCTAAAGAGTTATCAGTTATTGGTATTGGCCTAAAATTCCATATCTGCCTTTACTTTAGCCAATACACCTGCCAATGTCCAATTCTAAAGAGTTATTGGTTATTGGTAACAGCTTAAAATTCCATATAAATGCCTATATATCAGCCAATATATCTGCTAAAGTCCAATTCTAAAAAGTTATCTGTTGTTGTTGGCCTAAAATTCCATATTGGCCTATAAATCAGCTAAAGGTACATCATCCACATCGTTATGTTAGCATTCAATCACATAAGGTCTCTCTAAATTAGTATAATATTAATAGTTTAATAAACACACACATTCAGTTACAATGAATACAGTATTTCTTTCTGCAGTAGCCTAAATAAATCTTAAACATAAAAACGCTTTTTCGTTACAGTATTTACAAATATAGCCTAATAATAAACTTTTCTTATTAGGAAATTATTTTAAAAAATGCTTATTTTTAAGTTGTTAATTCTCAAAACACCGGTGACTCATTTATGTTAATGTGTTAATGAAAAATCATAAACATTATCTGATTATTTAACTGCATTTTGCAACTAAAAGAGTGTATTCTTCAACTGTAGGGAGCCCAAGAAAGATCCTGACTCAAACCAGAGGCAAACATGTTGAAAAACAGTCATTTTCCTTCAAACCATTGTCTATTCTATTTCATTTTGGCAACGTGTTGGCCTTTATATACATTTTACAATTTTGCAACTCTCAATATCTAATTTCCAGACATGAACTTGGTTGCAAAATGTGGTTGTTGCTCTAATATGACCTCTGTTTAGCAAATATGTGCTTTCTTTCAATCTCAATCTTCAATCCTTCTGATTGTCATTAAGTATTTTTGACGAATGCTTGAAATCACACTTTATGTTCACATTTTGATCATTTTATATCAGTAAATCTGTCATTATCTGATTTTCAGGCATGAATTTAGTTGCAAAATGTGGTTGTGGCTCTCATAAATGAGCAAATGGGATCAAATGAATCAGTCATAGAATCAGTGACAGCTGTGTTTAGCATCAACATGAACATAGCCTTGTGAACAAATGATCTCTGAGTAAATAAATGTTGTGCGTGTGTGGGTGGGTGGGTTGTAGGATTTGATTTTTGCAAAGGAAGTGTAATGTATAGTTTAGTCTGATTTCATGCACATTTAAATATTTAATATAAGTGCAACTGTCAACACCTGAATCTCAGGAATTTGTTTTGGTTGAAAAATGTAGTTATTGCACCAAAAAGTAAAGAGTAAGCAGCCAAAAAGGACTGACAACAGCATTTAGGATCAACTTGTTCTTAGCCTCGTGAACAAATGATCGCAACTGAGTAAATAAATGCATTTTTTGTGTGTTGCAGGATTTTATTTTGTCAAAAGAATTGTGATTTTAATGAGTTCAGTTTCGTTCTATACACATCTGACGATTTATTTTTTTTTTTTAGAAATGCAATCTTGAGTGAATATGGTTGCAAAAAATAACCACATAGAATCAGAGATACACAATATATACAGTGTCCATATCGCTATCTGCAGATGAATGATATATTTTTAGTATTATCCTTATCAGTCAGATAACAAAATTAGGTCAATATTTTTAAGCCAATTAACTATGTATCATTTCCACTGGTTAAACCACTTCATATGTGGCCTCTATATCTGCTAAAGTCCAATTCTAAAGAGTTATCTGTTATTGGGCTAAAATTCAATTTATATCAGCCAATATACCTGACAATGTCCAATTCTAAAGAGTTATCAGTTATTGGGGTCAGCCTAAAATTCCATATTGGCCTATATTTCAGCCAATATACCTGCTAAAGTCCAATTCTAAAGAGCTATCGGTTATTGGTATCAGCCTAAAAATCTATATCAGCCTATATATCTGCTAAAGACCAATTTTAAAGAGTTATCGGTTATTGGTATCGGCCTAAAATTCTATATTGGCCTATATATCGGCCAAAGTCCAATTCTAAAGAGTTATGTGTTAATGATTTCGGCCTAAAATTCCATATCAGCCTATATATCTGCTAAAGTCCATTCTAATGAGTTATTGGTATTGGCCTAAAATTCCTTAGTTGCCTTTCAGCCAATATACCAGCCAATGTCCAATTCTAAAGAGTTATCGGTTATTGGTATCAGCCTAAATTCCATCTTGGCCTATATATCAGCCAATATACCTGCTAAAGTCCAATTATAAAGAGTTACCGGTTATTGTTGTCGGCCTAAAATTCCATATTGGCCCATATATCGGCCAATATATCTGCTAAAGTCCAATTCTTAAGAGTTATTGGTTATTGGGCTAAAATTCAATATCTGCCTTTATATCAGCCAATGTCCAATTATAAAGAGTTATTGGTGTCAGCCTAAAATTCCATATTGGCCTATATATCTGCCAATATATCTGCTAAAGTCCAATTATAAAGAGTTATTGGTAATTGGTATCAGCCTAAAATTCCATATTGGCCTATATATCAGCCAATATACCTGCTAAAGTGCAATTCTAAAGAGCTATCGGTTATTGGTATCAGCCTAAAAATCTATATCAGCCTATATATCTGCTAAAGTCCAATTTTAAAGAGTTATCTGTTATTGGTATCGGCCTAAAATTCTATATTGGCCTATATATCAGCCAAAGTCCAATTCTAAAGAGTTATGTGTTAATGATATCGGCCTAAAATTCCATATCAGCCTATATATCTGTTAAAGTCCATTTCTAATGAGTTATTGGTATTGGCCTAAAATTCCTTATTTGCCTTTCAGTCAATATACCTGCCAATGTCCAATTCTAAAGAGTTATCGGTTATTAGTATCAGCCTAAATTCCATCTTGGCCTATATATCAGCCAATATACCTGCTAAAGTCCAATTATAAAGAGTTATCGGTTATTGGTATCAGCCTAAAATTCCATATAGGCCTATATATCGGCCAATATATCTGCTAAAGTTCAACTCTAAAGAGTTATTGGTAATGGCCAATATGTTAGCCAATATACCTGCTAAAGTCCAATTCTAAAGAGTTATCAGTTAATGGTATGGGCCTAAAATTCCATATCTACCTTTATTTTAGCCAATGTACCTGCCAATGTCCACTTCTAAAAGAGTTATTGGTTATTGGTAACAGCTTAAAATTCCATATTGGCCTATATATCAGCCAATATACCTGATAAAATCCAATTTTAAAGAGTTATCGGTTATTGGTGTCAGCCCAAAATTACATATCTGCCTATATACCTGCCAAAGTCCAATTCTAAAGAGTTGCTGGTTATTGCTATCGGCCTAAAATCCCATATTGACCTATATATCGGCCAATATACTTGCTAAAGTCCTATTCTAAAGCATTATTGGTTTTTGGTATCAGCCTACAAAAAGCATAAGGATAAATTGAAGCAGTGAAAAAAAAAGAAAAGTATCTGAAAGTAGAAATGTTTTACAAATAAATTCTTTTTGTCGTCAGATGTTTGATGAAAATGCACAAAATAGAACTAATTTCATACGTTTACTATGATTATCAATAAACAAAACTCTCACTGCCTGATTGTCAAGAGTGAATTTTGATGCAAAACATGGTTGTGGCTCGCATAAATAAGCAAATAGGATAAGGTAAAGCAGTCAAAAGAGTGACAGCTGTATTTAGCATGTGCATGGCCTCGTAAACATCTCCGTTGAATAAATAAATGCGTTCTTGTGTTGCAGGATTCAGAAGGAGCTTGCAGAAATAACACTTGACCCTCCACCGAACTGCAGGTAAGCGTCTGCTGTTTGTAAATGCGCTGCTCTTTGTTGCCAGAGAGAGAGAGAGAGAGAGGGAGAGAGAGAGATAATGGGCGAGAGAGGATAATGGTTATTGTGTTGATGAGGCTGTCAGGCTGGCGAGTGAGAAAAGAGCCTCTGCATGTGCCGCTGTGAGGATGAGTGACTGGGGCTCCCCAGGGGCCGCCCAGGAAAAGCCAGACCCTAATAAAGCGCATAACTGAAACTGACATTGTCATTGATTGCCCTCATGGTTGTATCAGGAGAATAATTACCCACTAGCCCCTGCGTTCAGAGACTACATTTCAGAGGCATCCTGAAAAGCGTCACGTGAGGGATGGGGTAATCTGTTTGTATTGCTTGGATGTATATGGATAAAGATCTCACCGCTGTGGTACCAGGGGATTGTGGGGGGGGGGGGGGGGGGGGGGGGCTTCCAGGGCATTGCATGTGATGTTTAGAGTGGTTTTAGTAGCGGATTTTATATATTTATTTTTATAATGATAATAATAATAATAATAGTAATAGTGATAGTAATAATAATGTTGGTGGTGGTGGTGGTAGTTCTGGTGTTGTTGTCTTTGTTAGGGATGTTCATATTGACCGTTTAACCGAAAGGATGCAAGTTTGTAACGCCACTTGTGGGGCGCTAACACGTTTCTACAGACGTATTTTGCCAAAGAAGCAAAATGAAGGAGAGCAAAAAAAAATATATATTGTTTGTTACAGTTCGAGACAGGTGAGTTTATCGGTTTTGTCGTTTGGGGAAAATTAACCGAAATGGGCATCCCTAGTCCTTGTCATTTAGAAAAAAAATTAAACAGTAGGTTTAACGCAGTCAAACAATTGTATAATGAAACGTGTACATGCAACCAAAGTCTGATCTAAACCACTTTTATTCTTATTGAATAAAATAAAGAGGGAGGGGGGGCATTGCTGTGCTGTTTTGCTGTTAAGAGTGGTACTGTACTTATTTACTTATCAGGTGTTTTTAATTAGGGTTGGAACTAAACTGTGCAGAGCTGCGGCCCTTTTGGAACCGAGTTTGACACCTGTGCGTTAACCGGAATGATGCATTTTTAACTGCTTTATTATCCAATCAGTTCCACGATTAAAAAATATTATTATTTATTTATATTTATTTTATTTTTTTTTTTTTAGAGTTTTGCTGCATAAATATGCAACACCTATTTGTTAACTTGCGGGGCACTAACACGTGCCTAAAAACTTATTTTTGGTAAAGAAGCAAAATAAAGAGTGCGGAAATAAGGATATTTCTTGTTACAGTTTGAGACAGACGAGTTTATCGGTTTTGTTGTTTGGAAAAAATTAACTGAAATTAGCATCCCTGGTCTTTGTTATTTATTTATGTAATATTTAAAAAAAATGTATTCCCAATTTATTTTCTTATTTACACACACACACACACACACACACACACACACACACATATATATATATATATATATATATATATATATATATATATATATATATATATATATATATATATATATATATATTTTTTTTTTTTTTTTTTTTTTGGGGGGGGGGGGGGGGGTGGGGGGGTTGTACCTTTATTGTACCTTTATTGTATAGGACAGTGGAGATTTTACAGATAGGAAAGTGCGGGGAGCAGAAAAAGAGGAAGAATCGGCAAAGGACCTCGAGCTGGGAATCGAACTCAGGTCACCATGATCACCTCAGTGCTATATGTCGATGCACTAGGCGATTGGCACCAACAACCAATTTATTTTCTAAACAGTAAGATAAACGCTATCAAGCTTTTTGTTGTGATTATTGAACCACAATGCACTAAAAAAGGAAATGCACACATATGTGCTGGCAGCTATTCGTTTTCTAAAATAAATGCATCTAAAATATAATTGTATTTTCCCCTTTTTTCTAATAATAAAAGAATATTTAATGCTATTAACCAAATGGTAGGTAATTCTGTCATAAATTAAGCTGCGGTCACACGAGTTTGAGCATGCAAAATGCTGTTATACAGCGCTGTGAAAAGGGGTGGAATTAAACAAGATGATTAGACATTTTAAAAAGCAAGCAATTGGTCCACACACACACACATATATATATATATATACACACACACACATATATATATATATATACACACACACACATATATATACACACACACACACACACACACACACACACACACACATATATATATATATATACACACACACACACACACACACACACACACACACACACATCTATACTTGCAACCCCATTATCCAAGCAGTCACAAATTATCATTGGAACAAAAGTAAATGACACTCTTCTCTATACATACACACCTGTTGGTACATTTTCCAGCGATTTATTTACCACTATTATCATCTGCTGAGTGAAATCATCTACAACCTGATTGCATAGAAATTGAATGCGTATCTTTCCTGTGCGCTGTACAAACGGTGTGAATTTCATTCCAAAGTGCCGTTTTCTACCTCGATTAAGACGTGGATCTTGTTGGGCTACGGATAATATCAGTGCTTTCAGAATAAATCAATGCCCGTAACAGGAGATCCCTGATAAAGCTGTCATATTCAGTGTTATCGCATTCATAGCTCCGAGCGAAGCCACTGAAATCTTCACTTTCAGGAATTATCCTGACACTGAGTGATGTTCTGACGGATTATATCTTACATCTAGCTTTCTTTCCTTTTTTTTTTCCATCCATTCATACCTGAGAAATGGATTTCTTCTGCTAGACGAATGATGCACCAGATGCCATTGTACTAATAAATCATTTCGACTTTGTAAGCCGTTTGCTGGGTACGAGAATTGAGCGCTGCTGTTTTTTTTTTGTTCAACTCTTCTGGTATCAGAAAAGAGTGTCTGCAAATTGATATTGAGTGTATGCCGGCTGCACAAGAAAAGCTGTAGGTGTTCTTTCGATATTTGTGAGCAGGTTTTTGTGCCTGTGAGCTGAACCGACGGTAATAGGATTTTATCAACAAAGAGAACAACAGGCGCCGTTTGAGACTGAATGCTGAGGTCTAGAAATAAATACTGTAACACTTTTTTTTCTCGCCGGCAATATATTGTGAGTGTGGAGCCAGCTGCAGGTTTACAGCGAGTGAATGATGCTGTCAGTCTCCAGAACCGCGACGGCTGGATAAAAAACAGACTGTGTGATGTAATTGTGGTCAGACAGCTGGACATGAGTGTGTTGGTGACAGACTTTTCAGAGTTATGCTTCTTTTTAGGGCTGTATTGGTACAAGACCATCCAGTAACCAGAGATGTGTGTTAGAATGAACATGTATTGGTAACACTTTAAAATAATGATCCAGTAGTTCATTATTTACAAATATAAACAAACAGTTATTGTAGTAAGATGTTTATTATGGTACTTTATTATCTATGTTAACATTAGTTAATGTTACTAAAGTAAATAACGTTAATTCGTGTTAACAAGCACAAGTTTGGATTTTAATAATGCATTAGTAAATGTTGAACCTCATTAATAAATGCTTGACAAGATTATTCGTTCATTTATTTTCCTTCGGCTTAGTCCCTTATTTATCAGGGGTCGCCACAGCGGAATTAACCTCCAACTATTCTACGTTTCTAAGCATACGTTTTAAACAGCGGATGCTGTTCCAGCTGCAACCCAGTTTTGGGAAACACACATACACTATGGCCAATTGAATTTTTTTCAATTCACCTGTAGCGCATGTGTTTGGACTGTGGGGGAAACCCGAGCACCTGGAGGAAACCCACGCCAACACGGGGAGAGCATGCAAACTCCACACAGAAATGCCAACTGACCCAGCCGGCACTCGAACCAGCGACCTTCTTTCTGTGAGGCGACAGTGCTAATCACTGAGCCACCACGCCACCCCTAAAATAGTTTATTTTAACTTTTGCAATCATGTCTCTGAAAAGCTTTTTTTTTTTCTTTTTTTTTTTTTTTAAGGGCCGGAGACATTTTTGGCAGAAAAACAATCCACAGGATGTGACGTTTGCATATTCCCAACAGCCTCTCTTCTTTTTAGGACACAAAACAAATGCTTTTATTAGCCAAGCTATTGCTTAAAAAGACAGTCCTTAGAGTAATGTCAATCCATCATGAAAATAAAGGGATTCATTCAATCTGTAGTCTCCCATAGTCTACAGTCTACAGGATATAGTCAATAGTAGGCCACTGAAATGTATATTCTCAGCCAAAGCAAAAATTCTGGATGCACTATGTTTTTTAATAGTTATTTATTATTTTCATTCAATCATTTTCTTTCGGGTTAGTCTCTATTTAAGAGGTCGCCACAGCGGAATGAACCGCCAACTGTTCCAGCACATAAGCAGTGGATGTTTACACTCTCACATACACTACAGCCAATTTTTGTTCACTCAATTCACCTATAGCATGTGTTTGGACTGTGGGGGAAACCGGAGCACCCAGAGGAAGCCAACGGCAACATGGGGAGAACATGCAAACTCCACACAAAAACGCCAACTGGCCCAGCCTGGGACTCGAACCAGCGACCTTCTTGCTGTGCTAACCACTGAGCCACCATGCTGCCTATTTGTTATTTTATTAAATCATATAATATCATTTTGGCATTTTATGGCAAAGCAATAAATTTTGCACATTAAGTATTACTGTCATGAATTTCTGTATAAACCGAAAAGTGTAGATGTCTCCATACCTCCCACACGTGCATCTGCATCCAGCTGTGTTTCCTGCATCGGCAGCAGAGGGAAAAATGTCACCTCTGCTTCTCTGTTGATTAGCATTGCGCTCCACAGGGAAAACACACACCAGTCATTTTTCACCTCCTGACCGTCAGCTGCAGCAGCGGGTATGAATATTCATGAGGGGGGTGGGGGGAGGAGCACACATGTTCTTGATCATCAGTGTCGAAGGCCTCCATCTTAGACCCGAGACTCTGATCAGAGCTGCTATACAGAACTGAAATCACACAGAAAAGGGAACCGTTTATGTCCTTTGCGCGCGCACAC